AAAAACAGAACAACAACAACAAAAATTTTATAATAGGAAAAACTAATTCGATAAATTAATTAGAGACCAGATGCTGGTGGCTCATGTTTGTAATTCTGGCTACTTAGGAGACTAAGATTTGAGGATCACGGTTCAAAGCCAGACTAGGTAAAAGAGTCCATGAGACGCTTATGTCCATGTAACTAGCAAAAAGCTAAAAGTGGAGGTGTGGTTCAAGTGGTAGAGTGCCAGCCTTGAGGAAAAAAAAAAAAGAAAGTGAGAGGCCCAGAGTTCAAGCACCAGTACTAGTCTAGGACTTTTGGCAGCTACACAGGCATAGAGTAGTCGAGTCCTGATTGAAAAGACAAAGCTGAATCTACGCAGATCAGGCCTTTGAGAGTTAATAAGGTACAACTCAGGAAGAGGGGAGAAGAAAAAAAAGCATCAATCTGACACATGCTTATGAGCAGCACATGTGGGGATTGTGGAATAGCTTACAGGTGACCAGAAATGGACAGTTTCTAATAGTCATAAGTGAAAATAGTCAAACTGTATGGGGCTTTAGGTAGCGTATTCAAGATAACTTTAACCTTGTATCCAGCAATTTGGAATAATGGACCCTGAAGTCTGCCTCTGTTTGTCTCCAGATCACTTAAATTTCAAAGGATGCCAGGACCAGGCAGAAAAATCCTAGAGAATTTTATTTCTAGTTAACCAGCAAAAAGTCAAAAGTGGAGATATGGCTCAAGTGGTAGAGTGCCAGCATTGAGTGCAAAAGCCAAGCAAGTGCGCAGGACCCTTAAGTTCAAGCACAGGAAGAGGGGAAGAAAAACAAATTAAAGGATGCCCACTAGCTTTGCTACTTCGGTGTAATGTAAGTCCTCCCATTTAATCTGCTTACTGGCAAACATAACAGCAGTGGGACATTTTAGTACATTTCCTGATGTTCGACCTCAGGGTTGCAGTTAGACTACCTGTATTGGAAGGCAGTCAAGTACATGTTGGCATCGATAGTTAGGGCAATGGAATCTGAAAAGATGGATCCTCCACTGGGAACTCTGGGAAGGAGGCCACGATGCTGTAGGAACAGTTTCACAGTTACACCACATCCTAACCATCCTTACAGTGGGTCCCTCCGCAATGTAACTCCGTGTGGCAGAGAAGACAGAAGGAAAGTCAGTAATACTAGAAGGAACTCGAGGTGCAAGACAGCTTGGTACAAGGACCAGAGACCAGCAGAGAACGGAGATAACCGTGAGAGCAACATCCAGAGGAGAAAAACAGGAGGCTTGATGTCCACGAAATATTAAAACACGTCATTCAGATGCAGAAATGGATGAACAGACATGGGTGAGGACCAGTGATCAGATTGGCTGCTTGTGCCATTTTAAAAGAGGAGGAGTAGAGTCTTCTGGGGTTTCAAATTAAACAAGTTTAATTGACTCAGCAGTTGGAGTACCGCATATCTACCTGTAAATCCTATTTGAGCACTCCCCCTGGTCCTTCCCTCACCATCCACAGGAAGGAAGCCCGGACAGGTGCACAGGTCGGTGCTGCCTTTCACATGTCAAAGGCCAGGCGTGGTATAAAGGGGAAAGCTCAAGAGGCGGAGACTAACCAGCTGAGGAAGGGAAGCAAGCAGCGATGAGGGAGGAGAGCATATTCCCAACCAGCGATCTATGTGTAACCAGGCACCAGTGGCTCACCCATGCCATCCCAGCTGTTCAGGAGAGGCTGAGATCTGCAGATCCAAGTTCAAAGACAGCCTGGGAAAGGAAAGTCCATGAGATTTCTTATCTCCAATGGACCACCAAAAAGCTAGAAGCAGAGCTGGGGCTCAAGTGGCTGAGTGCCAGTCTTGAGTGGAATAAAAAGCTCAAGGACAGTGCATAGGGCCCTGAGTTCAAGCCCGAGGAGTGGCAAAATAAAACACACAACAAAACAAAACAGAGAAAACCCCTTGCAGGTCTTCATGTAATAATCCACTGAGATCTGATGAGCAGACATGCTGGCTACCATGAACAAAATAGCTACATTTGAAGAAAAGAAATGTGTGCAAAGTAACCCTATTTTTTCTGAGAAATTTGCTTTTAAAGCAGAACATGCCACAACAGAAGATGGTGTCCTAATTTAGCATCTTTTACCAGGAGGAACTGTTCTCAGGCAGTGACTGTTTGCCAACTGAGAACCAATAAGTTGCTGGATTTTGTCAATCAGAGAGTATCTAGTACTCAATGAGAGACAGGAAGGCATGTTCTGAGTTCTTTCATGGCTGCCCAAGGTCTGTGGTGGGTCTCTGAAGTCATGAAGGCAAAGAGGAACATGCTGGTGAATGCCCCTCATGCTTGTCTTTACAATCTTTTTCATTCAGAAAGCAAAAAGCTTGTCTCCCATTCTGACAATGACTCAGGCTAGACCAAGAGATAGGAGTCTTCAAAAGAGTTGTCTCCTGTGAAAAGTGTTTATGTTTAGGAGTATGTATGCGTGCTGCTTTACTTGGAAAATATACAACTCTGTGTGTGTGTGTGTGTGTGTGTGTGTGTGTTTGTGTGTGTGTGTGTACCAGTAGTGAGATTTGAACTCAGGCCATCTACTCTCCCTTAGCTTTTTCACTCAAAGCTGGAGTTCTATCATTTAAGCCACACCTCTAACTTCTGGCTCCTTAATAGTTAATTGGAGATTAGAGTCTCTTGGATTTGTCTGCCTGGACTGGCTTTGAACCACAATCCTTCGATCTCAGCCTCCTGGGTAGCTGGAATTACAGGCATAAAGCATGGATGATGCCTAGCTTCAGAATCTATTTTTCCGGTCAATCAAAGTTGTGATTTTTATCAAAACAACCTATAGAAAACTAGACTGGAAATAAGCAAAGATATACATATTAAATAATGTTCCAGACTATCCAGCAGCAATGGGACATACGGCTTCTTTGTAAAGGTTCTCAAAGTATTCACCAAGACTGACCACATCCTTGGCTATAACAAACCAGGCAGAATTATATTTATGCAGAGAATGTGCTCTGACCACGATGAAACCCAAACGAGAAATCAGTAACAGGAAAACAGAAAGATTCCCTGACATTTCAAAACTAAAAATGAACTTCTAAAGAACCCACAGGTTATGGAAAAAGAAGTCGTAAGGGAAATAAATGCATGCATTGAACTAAATGAAAATGAAAATGTAACATCTCAAACTGTGTGGGATGAAGTGGAAACTAGCAAAAGGACAATTTAGAGGCCCAAATGTTTATGTAATAAAAAAATAATAATAAGTTCGAATCAAGAATCTAAGTTCCACACCAAAGAGAAGAGCCAAATAAGCCCAAAGCAAGCAGAAGAAAGGAAATAATAAAGATTCAAATTTTAATGAAACTGAAACAGAAGAACAACAGAGGAAAATAATGAAAGAGGTAGTTGGTTCTTTGAGACAGTCCATGTAACCGTAGCCAGACTAATAATGAAATATGGAAGACGAAGCAAAGCTCCAATATCAGTGATAAAACTGGGATGTAGTTAGAGGTCCTGCAGACATTCAAAAGATTGTAAAGGAATCATGACCAATACTCTATGTATGCATTTGACCATTTAATATAAATGGACCAACCATGCACAGATGGCTCATGCCTGTGATCTGATGAACTCAGGAGGCTGAGATCTGAGGATCGCAGTTCAAAACTAGCCCAGGAAGGAAAGTCTGTGAGACTCTTACCTCCAATAAACTACCAAAGCACAAAACAAAAACAAATAACAGAAGCGGCGCTGTGGCTCAAGTGGTAGAGTACTAGCCTTGAACAAGAGAAGCTCAGGGGCAGTGCTCAGGCCCTGAGTTTAAGCCCCCAAGACTGGCACAAAAAGAATAATAACTATAATATAAATAATATAATATAATATATGGCCCAATTTCTATGCAAATTATTATAACGTAACTTAATAGGAAGCTGATCATTTTAATAAATGTATTAAGGCCAGGCACTAGTGGATCATGCCTAGAATCCTAGCTACTCAGGAGGCTAAGTTCTGATAATTGAGCCTCAGCCAGCCTGAGCAGACAAAACTAAAAGATCCTTATCTCTCTAATCAACCAGCAAAAAGGCAGAAGTGGAGGTGTGGCTCATGTGGTAGAGCACCAGGTTTGAATGGAAAAGCTAAAGGACAGTACAAGGCTGTGTTCTAACCCCAGGACTCCCCCTCAAAAAAAAATAGGAAAGGAAAGAGAAAATTTATTAAAGTAATAAATTTGTTTTTTAAAAAAAGGTAAAACAGAAAGAATTTCCCGGCCCAGAGTATACTACAGAATTTTATCAAATATTTGAAGATATAACACAAACTTTTGATATTCCCAAAATCAGAATATGGGGGAACACTATATGAAGGAACATAAAGGAATATTATAGGAAGCTAGCATTACGTGACATACAAAAAGAAAGAGAAAAACAAACACAAAACCTCTAGAGCACTGTCCTTCATGAAAAGCAATGAAAAAATTCTTAACAAAATATTAGTAAATAGAATTCAACCACACATAACTATTTTTTAAAGCATATTATTAACCAGTATGACCAAGTAGACCTTATTCTGGAGGCACCATACTCATTCAGTATTGGAAAATCCATCAATATAATCCCCAATATTAACGAGCTAAAGAAAAAAAATAGGTATGACCATGTCAGCTTCCTCAGTGAATATGTATATTGGTAAAATTCAATAGTCATCCACAACTTAAAGTCTCTTATAAACATAGGAATTGAGAAAGCATTTTGTATATTACCCAAATTGAGTGATATAATTATATTATTAATAGATTACTCAATTGAGTACTATGCAGATTTCTCCACTTATAGCCAATTAATCTGGAAGTGGAGCTGTGACTCAAGTGTTAAAGCACTAGCCTTGAGCAAAAAAAAAAAAAAAAACGCTCAGGGTTAGCACCCAAGCCCTGAGTTCAAGCCCCAGGACAGGCACAAAAAATAAAATACATCTCATCAAAGCATGCTTTCTATTGAGGTAACATCCGGTACTTACTGCCAATATCTGGTCTCAGCTTCTTGTCATATTCTCTTAGCAGCTTGTTCAAAATAAGAGTCACATCCGTGTCTTGGGATTTAGGAGCCAAAACCCACTTTTGGTTTGACGAAGAATCTTCATATTCATCCTCTTCCATCTTTCTGGATCTGTGGTTATGACATAGAAGATAATGCACAAATCACATCAATAGCCCCAAGAACATTCCTTAACAAAGTTTGGTCACTCACACCTCTAATCTTTGCTACTCAGGAGGCAAAGATCTGAGGATCATGGTTTGAAGCCAGCTCAGGCAGGAAAGTCCGTGAGACTCTTATCTCCAGTTAATCACAGAAAAAGCCAGAAGTAGAGCTGTGGCTTAAGTGGTAGAACAATAGCTAGCCCTTGAGCTAGGAAGGAAGGAAGGAAGGAAGGAAGGGAAGGAGGGAGGGAGGAAGGGAAGGAGGGAGGGAGGGAGGGAAGAAAGGGAAAGGATTTGTCAGGTGCTGGTGGTTCTCGCCTATAATCCTACTCAGAAGGGTGTTATCTGAGGATGGAAGTTCAAAACTAGCCCAGAGAGAAAAGTTCATCAGACTCATGTCTAATTAACCAACAAAAAGCTGCAAGTGGAGGTGTGGCTCAAGTGGTGGAAAAGCTAAGGAACAGCAAGCTAGGCCCAGAGAGTTCAAGCCACAGCACTGGCACAAAAAGAAAAACCGTTCTAGCGTGTCGACCACATGGCGGGTTCTTGGTAAGTGCTAACAACGAAGGTGTAGGCATTTTTCACTTTGCTCCTTGCCGGGCAGGCCCCTGACCCCACACACTGACGGATCATAGATCCTGTCGTCCATGAATGGACAGAGCTCAGATGACAAGAAAGCTTTCCCAGTGAATAGGCCATCACAGCCACACAGCTAGTGCAAGCTGGGAAAACATTTTCTGCCTGAAAGCTCACAAGAATTGACTTCCAAGTGGACTGCTGCTGTCCCCCAGGAAGCTCATAAAACAAACAAACCATCTCCTTTCTCGTCCATCACTGTGTACATCTTGACTTCTTTCTGCACAGAGAGAAGAGAAAACCAAATGGCAATTGCATGGGAGGAGGATTGATTTTGACTGCCTATGAGTTCTCATTTCTGTTCAGATTCCCAGACAAGAACCAAAATACCCATACCATGTCAGGGCACTTGAATTCTAGGATATTCGTGTCCTGAAGTTAATGATTAGAATTGTCTAAATCTGCCTGGTGCCAATGGTTCATTCCCTGTAATCCTAGCTAATCAGGAGGCTGAGATCTGAGGATGGTGGTTCGAAGCCAGGGGTCAGGAAAGCCTGAGTCTCATAAGAGTCTTATCTCCAATTAACCACCTAAAATCTGGAAGTGGAACTGTGGCTCAACTGGCAGAGCACTAACCTAGAGCACAAAAGCTCAGGCCCTGAACTCACATACATGTGCACACACACACACACACACACACACACACACACACACAAGAATTGCCTAAATCTTCTATAATGAACATGAAATTATTTAACAGCACAAACAATATATAGTCCTTCATGGAGCTGTACACAATTCTTCATATGTGTATGTGTGTATGCATCATATATTACATATACGAGGGGCTGGGAAGGTAGCTCAGTGGTAGAGCACTTGCCTAGCATGCATGAGGCCCTGGGTTTGATTCCTCAGCACCACATAAGCAAAAAGAAAAAAGCTGGAAGTGGCGCTGTGGCTCAAGTGGTAGAGTGCTAGCCTTGAGCTGAAGAGCCGAGGGACAGCGCCCAGGCCCAGAGTTCAGGCCCCACAACCGGCAAAAAAAAAAAAAAAAATTACATATACGAGTCTTTTATGAGTATTAACAAGTACGGCATAGTCTAGAGCAGAGGTCACACAAACTGGGCCAAAATAGTCTTTCCTTTTTCAGTGTCATCTTGTTCCAGAACTTTAGCAGATGCTAACCCTCCAGATGCTCAAATCTCTCATATAAAATGATATAGGATCCTGTCAAGTGCTGTTGGCTCACACTTGCAGTCCTAGATCAAGGTTCACAGCTTGTCCTGGCCTACAAAACTGAGAGACTCTTATCTCCAATGAACCAGGGGGAAAAAAGCCAGAAGTGGAGCTGTGGCTCCTGAGGTAGAGCACGCACCTTGAGAGGAAAAGGCTAAGAAGAGAGTGAAGTCCTGAGTTCAAACCCAAGTACAGGCACAAAATTAAATGTAAATGAGTAACTAAAATGGCACCGTGTTTGCATATAACACTTGCAGATGCTATAAATAATCTCTAGATGGCTTGCACCTAATTTGATGCAAATGCTACACAAATAGTTGTTATATATAGTTGTCTAGGGAAAAGTGATAACAATGGCTTGTACATGCTCAGCCTAGACCATTTTTCACCCTATTTTAACTCCACAGCTGTGTACATCTGCCATTGTACTTCCCATGTATATGAAAGACACATGGACAGTAAGATTTTGACAACATATGCCTGGCAGAGTGACTTCAGTGCTGAAGAATTTCTTAGGTTGATTTTATTGTTTCTTTCTCTCTTTTCTTCTTTTTTTTAAAATTGCTTTTTGCCAGGACTGAGACTTAAACTCCGGGCCTATAATCCTTATGTTAGAGATGGTATCTCTCAGATACAGTTTTTCTGCACCATCTTCTGGATCTCAGTCTCCTGGGGAGCTAGGATTATTGGCATTAGGCACCAGCACCAGGCTTAATTCTATCTCTTAAATACTTCAGATATTTTCTACTCATTTTAGAGAAGTAGAAAACAGTGGTTCATTGGCTATCCGAGGTCTATCCGCCTATATCGATTATGCATGGCCTGTGGATGATGTCATAAATATGCAAATAGCCCTTGGGCCAGAAAAAAAATGTTTCCCTAAGACTGAAGAGCAAAATAAATCATCCCCAGAAACTATAAATTGCTGTGGCTTTTTATTAATACTGAACATTTACCATCAATCAAGACTTAAAACATTCGGGGCATATACTTGCTAAGTGCTATCTAGACTGCTATATCTCAATTGCTGTTTGTATAACTGATTTTTTTTTTTACAAATGGCATTAGGGAATTTTAAATGCTACATTAGAATATTTGATGTTATCAGGAGCAAGATCACAAGTGTTCATTTTTGTCATCTTTCAAAAGCAAAACAAAATCAAGAGTCATTTGATGCACTGGCTAGCTATTTAAGAGCCACTAGCTACAAAATCATCAGCCATCTGTTTGTCTGTCCTTCCTTCTCTTCCCTTTTTCTCCAGTTCTCCTCTCCCAACCCACAGCTACAAAACCAGATCATAACCTCTAGCTCTTGTTTCCTTCCACTCATCATTTTCTATATATATAGCCTGACTTTTTTGTTGTTGTTGTTCTGATATAGGAGTTTGAACTCAGAGCCTGGACACTGTCCCTTAGCTTTTTCTCTCAAGGCTGAGGATCTATCACTTGAGACACAGCTCCTACTTTTAGCTTCCCGGTGGTTCCTTGGAGATAAGTGGATCTCATCGACTTTCCTATCCAGGCTGGCTTCAAACTGGGATCCTCAGATCGCAGCCTCCTGAGTAGCTAGGATGACAGGCCTGAGCCAGGAGCGCCTGGCTCACAACCTGAGTTTCTAAAAATTACCAGTGAACTGACTGTGATTATAATGAGCCTCATTCTCCCTCTAGAGGTGGAACGAGGGATTTCCTGAAATTGCATAAGCTCCTTTTCTGAGCGGCCAGGGCAAGTGCCACCTAAAGGAAGAAAACAAACTCCATTCTCTCTGGCTCCTTCAGTAGATCCAGCTGGAGCTCCAGCTCTGCACCTGATGGATATGGACTACAGGTGTGTGTGTGGGGGGGGTCTGAGATGCCCTTGGCCCCTCCCACCGGAAAGTCCAAGCAGACACTTGAGTTGCTGGGGCCAGACCCACCATTAAACCCCACAGGGAAATCTGTGCTCTGTGGAAAACCAAAAACTTACCCCAGGGGACCCACTAGACGGTGGAGAAAAAAAACAGAACATTTCTTTGCTTCTAAATTCTAAGTGGGTTCTATATAATCTTTACGAGCAGGCTGTTGCTTTGATTGCAGGATCCCAAGCAACATCACTGCAATTAGCTTTTTTCTTTAAAAAAAAAAAAAAAGATAGATCAGCAATGTATTGTCATTGTCAGGCAACCGTTCCAACCTTCAGACATTAATTTTCATGTTTTATATTTTCTCTTCATTCCGAAGGACAGGGACAAAGTCGGAAGTATTTTTAAACATGAAAAAGGGATCGGTTTAGCATCATCAAGGCGTGTCTTGGAAGTTCAGGTGAGAATGAGTTCATTTCACTGGGTTGTAAGTTCAACTCCTTGGGTGTCAGGATAGGGAAGGGTCTCCACCCAAGCTTCTCAGGGGCAGAGCCATAAAATACAGTTGCTAGAACCATTTTGAAAGCCAGCTGACAGCAGGTAGCTCATTGTTTTACATGCCTGGGTAATAAAACAAAACAAACAACGCCCCCTCCCCCCAAAAAAAACATTCCCAGAGCACACCTTCACAGGAGAGATACCCAACAATAAAATTAAGTGTTACATTTTCATTTTCTTTTCTTCTTCCAAATGATATGCGATTGTGATCACCAAAAATAAAATAAAATTGGGAAGCCAGGGAGAGAACATATTAAAATCAGAAGTCTATTTTGCCTTGGCCAAAAGGAAGGATTAAAAAATGTCATGAGATACTCTGGATATTTCAGTATTCCCAGGGAACCTGATGGCTTCCAGTCAGGTACTTGAAACTACAAGTCAGATACTTCAAGTCAAACACAGATGCTCAGTGGGAAGACATCGCTCCCGCTGCGCACATAGGATATTGAGAAAGATGACCTGGTTTTTTTCCTTTTAGCATGTTAACTATCCATAGATCTGAGTGAATAATTTAGCTAACCCTGAACTACAGAGTGACAACAGTGCCAAAATTGTGACTCTAGCCTCCTGGCTGTAGCTGGTATTATTTGCCTCTAAACAGAGATAGTTTCACACAATCAACATCAAAAAGCACCTTTCCATTCCTCTTACCAACTCCCTCCTTGGACTAAAAGAAACTTCTGCCTAATTGACTTTGTGTGTGTGCGCGTGTGTGCGTGCATGTGTGCGTGTGTGTGTTTCTCTGTCTGTCTGTATTGGGGCTTGAACTCAGAGCCTGGACACTGTCCCTTTCCTTTCTTTGCTCAAGGCTGGTGCTCTACCACTTGAGCCACAACTCCGTTTCCATGGAAGAAAGTTCTGGAAGGCTCTGAGAGTGCTGCCTTCTTCACTGAGCTGTCTGTGAGTACAGGGAGTGCACCTTTCACCTTGTCACTTCGCAAAGCTCAGAGGATTGGGAAGGTTACAGGGAGGGAGGTGACCAGCACTTTGTTCAATGGTGTGAGACTTAGGGACTTGACAGGTTGCAGAATTCGTGTCTCTTCCTAGTTCCTTGGTGATTGGACACAAATATAAATGAAAACACAAGACACTGACAGTTGCTGTCCCCTGTCCTTCCCCCTCTGCCCCCCAAAATGGATGCTCCCCCATCTTCTTTTAGGTCCAGGAAATGGAGAAGTGTCCAAACCAGCAACAAGGATGTTCTGAGAGTTCTAGGGTTGGGGACTAGGAAATCTGATCTAGTCTCCAATGCCGAGAGCAGTCTGCAGGCTCTAGACAGAGCCCAGGATGGGAAAGACAGAATTAAACCATCTCAGAATCACCCATGGTGTTTATAGCAACAGGCTTTAACCCTTCCGATGCTATTTCCCTTCTATCCTCAGGAGCACTTTACATCTCTCTTGAGAGGTCGTGTGTGTGTGTGTGTGTGTGTGTGTGTGTGTGTCTTAAGCTCCTTTGGCTGGTTGATATTCTGGAAGGAAGGTTCATGGTACCGATGGTGAGATGCAATTGTTCACACTCTCAGAATCATTGATACCAGCGTGAACCTGGGCGGCATGCTTGCTTTAGGGGCCAGCTGTGCAAAAATAACTAGGTGAGAGGCAGACAGACAGACACAGGACACACAGAGACCTGGAGCCACCAGCTCCCCACTCTCCCGGACCCCCCACCCTTTCCCCTCCCCTTCAGCCCCGTTAACTCTTCTTTCTTCGGCCGGGCAGCTAGGAAAATAGGAATTCCTGCGGAGGGTCCTGGACGTTTTTAGTGACTGAGTGTCTGGAAAACGTCCATGGGTGTCTGTGCGTGTTGAGCCCTTGGGGATCTTTGGGGGTGCGGGGGGGTCAGCGGGGGTAGAAAGGAGAAAAATGAGGCCACCTGTCCTCGTACACTTTGGGGGTTCCAACACCCCCCCCCTTTAAAAGCATCCCGATCCTAAAATGGTTAGAAGAGGAGTCTCCCGGGTTCCGACTTTAGGCTAGGGAGAGCTTCCCAGGGAGGAGAGGTGCGGACTTCCCGGGCTCCTCCCGCCCGCCCGCGGTGCCGCAGCCGACCGACGGCGGGGCGCTCGCTCGGGGTGCTGGGGTGAGGGTGTGTGGCCTGGGGGATCGGGGAGGGGGGACAGGGGAGCCCCGCACACCGCGATCCCCGCCACCCTGTCCGCCAGCGCGGGGGTCCCGATGGAAGGCAGGAACCCACCCCACCCCCGGTGCCACCTCCCGCGCCACTTACCGCGCGTGCAAGCCGGAGAACAGGCAGAGGAGAATCAGCAGCTTGGGGGCCATGGCGCCCCGGAGCGCGGTGGCGGGGGGGGGGGTGTCCGCGGGCCTCGGATGGGCAGAGGCTTCCTCCGGAGAGCGAGCCCTCGCGATGAGGGGCAGGGG